TATCATTTTAAGATTACGTAAATAGAAAAATCGATTGCAGAACATTTCGCATCATGTATATTTATAATTTATGTCATAAATAATAATGTTGAACATTAATAAATATTTTCAATATTGCATTGTACAATTCGCATGCATTAAACATTTTAATTATATATATATAAAATTATGAAAAGAAAATTAAAAATAATTACGGATGTGATGTCAGAGAATGATGGATATTCCAAGGGAATTCAATAAGAAGGATATTTTTCAACCAAGCGAAGCAAATTGTCATCAATCTTTTTAGAGAAAACCGGAAAAAAAGATTAAAAGAACTAATAGATAATTTATCTGGGAATACTGACATAAAACTGCAAATTGAACGAAACCAAAGTTATAAAACAATCATTTATATTTCTCTTTCTTTATTGCAATGGAGATTTAAAATAAAGAAAATACACCGATATTACGTTTCACGTTCGGAAGAAAAATACAACAAATCATCAAACAACTCCTCCATTTTATCCTTAAACCAACTGCTTGCAAACGGTATCGATTCAAAGAAGAACATCCCCAGCGACAGAGGGAATCAAAGGTCGTTTACTCGCGGTGATAAAAAGGACAAGAGGGAACAAAGGGATTCCGAGGATAAACGTAGAAATCTCCCTGAGCAGATTTTTCTCCATCTTTCAGTTCCTTGTCCTCAAACCGTTCACTTTCCTGTCAAAGCAAAGTGGAAACGAGAAACTAAATGGAAACGTGGATCGAGAATTGCCGATACGATTAATGGTTTCGTTAATATGTAGCAATTTCGATTGACCGCAACCCAATTCATATTATTGGCAGCTAGACAGGGAGGAAAAGGACGAGAAATTCGAATTGGTCGGTGTATAGAAGGGAAAGCCGACTTCCAACCCTCTCTTTGAAAAGCCTCCGCGTGTTTCGTTAGCTCGTGGTTTCGTTAGTTTGCGGTTTGCTCGCTGCGTGGCGCGCTTGAGTTATACGACTGAATAAACGACCGACTCCCTTATCAACGTGATTACTAATCACTATTCCGCATTAATAGTCATCGTTATTAGATACGTGCATCGTTTGCTAGATTCAATTCATAATGCACTTTGGATGTGGATAATTTGTACTGCGTTTCTAATACGATTGTGGATATAATACGTGAAACGTGCATTTCATATCTTCGACGAATTTATGATCGATCAATATCATTTATTTAAGAGTTTTATTAATCACTTTTACATAAAATTTTACCCTCTTTCGATTCTATCTCATTTTCAATTTAATTTTCAAATCCACTTTATAATTCCCCTATATAAAAATTCGAGATCGAATTTCAAATGATCAAAATTTATACTGCATTTTACCACACGTTTTAAATGAGATCCTTCAAAACTCACATTCTTCATCTCGCTCCCGCTACTTTCCTGAAGTAACTCTTACAATCTCCATTCAATTTTCTCCACCAACTTCTCGTTCAACGAATGAAACTCGTGAAACGACTCGTTCGTAGAATAAGAAGTAAGAAGTCTCTCGCTCTCGTAGAGCAAAGGTATATAAAATGAAGAAATGTTTGGTCGTAGATCTATTGACATCTCAAGCGTGCTTCCGTATTTTCAATTACGCCCCCAGGATGATAATGTAAAATCAGACATCCGGTTTCCACGCTATTCAGTTTACATCTTTCCTCGCTTCTCGTCTCTCTTTCTCTCTCTCGTCCAGCTCGAGGCTTCTCGCGACGCTATTATCCGGTGTCCATTGTGCGCGATGAAAAGAAATTGCGTGTTCAGCACGCGGCCTCCTTGGGTTAGATGCGGATTAACGACCTCGACGACGAGGCTCGCGTTAATTATGCACGCCTGCTCGCTCTCTCGGCTAACGATGATTCGTCCAACCGAGAACGTGCAACCAATTGTAGGGGATACCATGACGAATTTTCAACGGGACCGTTTGTTATCTTTTAACCGGCAACGTTCTCTCCTGGGTCCAATTTCGGACACGTGTACACTGGAATCCTTGGTGATACAAACGGTAGAAGCGCGTGACAAAAGGTATGCGGAGAAATGTAAGGTTAGTTGGAAATTTACGAACGTGGTGTATTGCGCGATTTTGATAATTTATTTCGCCTACCTGCTTGGCGAACTCGCCATATCGAAAAACATAATTCTTCGTATCAATGAAACTCTCTTCGAGGCGTGTGAATGTTGGCAAAAGTTCATTTCGATATTTTCTAATTTCTTTTTTAATAAATTTTTAAGACATTTTTAATTGTAAAACATTTTTAATCATTCGTACTATATATAGTACGGTTTTGTGCGAGATAAAGGAGGAGAGAGGATAAAGAAAGATTAGGACGTAAGAAAAGGAGATGCGTTTAATTCCGTTCTGAGATTCATACAGAAGTAAATCCTAGTAGCGCCTTAGATGTCGAGATGGACCAGCCTCAAAGGATATATATTTGTATGAAAAGGATACTTGGGGAGGGGGGAGGGGGGTAGACTCTCCAGAATTTCCTTGGAGACTAGAATCTCTTTGCTGGCGAATGTAGAAGGATTGTAATATATACCGAGATTAACTAAAATTCTACGTTATACATCCAAACTACATATATAAAATATAATTTCCATTCTCCTTTTCCACAAATCTACTACCAACCCTACAAATCTTTCACGCCAAATCCATTAATCACACTCCAGCTCAAAATTCATCGGATGGATATACATTGCCGCAAAAAAACACTCATCGATCACGCGATGACTCGATCCAACCCCGATCATTTTCGACCCAAGAGATCGTCGTATTCGCGTTACCAAAGAACGTTACCAACGTCACGCCAAGAACAATTCCAAAAAAGAAAAAGAATTCCAAGGATTCGATTCTTTTCTTGCTCGCTGGGGGAGGGGAAAAAATCGAGTTCAGAGACCAGCGAAAACCGTAGCGACGCGAGACGTGAAAGGATAGGGTCACGACCCGTTTATGGAAAAGTCAACGTGGCGGTATTTGTCACGGTTAATGGGCCGCGTTGTGTCGACGGGAGTTGGCCTCCGTCGTTAACTCGTTACCTCCCCCGGTAATCCGATGGCGCTACTCGTGCAGGCGCCATCGCGAAGTCGCCCTTTGTCACGGCGCCCTCTTTCGCTTCGTCTGCTCCCTAGCATCGATTAATCACGTTCTATCCCACCCACCTTCTATTCCACGCTGCTGCAACTCCCCCCCGTTCCTTTTTCCTCCGTTTCCTTCCTCCTCCGCGTTTTTCCCCTCCCCCTCTTCACGGTGTCGCGCGCTCGTTGCACCGGAAATGGGTTCATCCGAGGAGAGGAGGCAGGCTGCGTTCGAGGTTAAGGCGATGCGTCGAAGATGAATTTTTTGAAGATGAAGATGAGATTTCTAGATTTTGCTTTCGCGAATTTCTTGCTTTGTTGTTATTTGAGAGGGGAGGGGAGTGAGTGAAATCGAACGTTGATTATTTGAATTGATTGGTTATGGAAGATGTAGATAAAAGCTGTGAAAAAATTGATACGAAAAATGATCGCTTATTATATTGATATTGAACAATAATGTGAAGATCGATTGTTCAATGTTCTTGGTTATAATATTAAAATGTACTAGAAGATAATTATTTTAAAGGATGTAATATCTTAAAATGTGATTTCATCTCGTAAATTTTGATATGACGAAGTACTCCATTTAATGGATAAATTATTCCTTTCAACGTTCAACCAAGAAAGAGATTGTACTTCTTTGTGCCACTTATTATTTACTATTTCCTCCGTGCTGTTAAATAAAACGTTATTTTTCCCGCGTAAAATCAATTATTCGATCCTGCTTTCCTTTATCTACTTTTGTGAATAAAATGATTTGATATTATTAAAGGTTAATTAACTCGAAGAATCTGCTTTTGCGTTACGTTTTAAGGATGCAAAGATACAAAAAATAATCACATTCACGGAAATTCCACTTGATTTGCGTAGAACTTTACAATAAAATTAGCTATCCTTTTATTTCGATAGAAATTCGTAAATGCACAATTGAATCTCGAATAATCATAAACGATAAAATAAAATATTCAAATCGAATAAATATCTCGGGATCGGGTTTTATCAAAATTTTTATTTCCACGTCAAAACTTCGCTCAATTTCCAAAACTACTATCTTCGATTGCCACCCTATCATAAACCTGATCGAACTCACCCCTGTTCCACATCGATCGAACCATCCTGAATTCCATTCGAGAGAAACAACAAGACTACAAAGTCTCCAGAAGAATTCGTTAATTGTGAGAGCCCCGATAGGATTCTTTCACTCCCTCCCAGAATTCTTGGCCAAGTATTTCAGAGGTAAACGCTTTGCCCTCTGAAATACTCCTCTTCCTCGTCCAGTTTCTCCTTTGACCCGAGTTAATAATCGCATTTTTTAAATAACTTTCGCGACACCCGATGGATCCGTCCGTTAATTCTCGCGCAGTTTTTCATTTCAGGAAGGGGCCAAGGTATCGGGTTACGGGTGATCCGAACTTTGAAACGGAAGCCTGCGTTTGTTTCTATCGTTACAGAAGGGATGAAACGACGTTTCCTCTCTTCCTATATATCTTGTGACGGGCAAAGTGCTAGAGCGTCTCTCTTTGATAACATTCTTTTTCTTTTTCTCCTTTTTCCATTTTCCATCTTTTCACTATACTTTGTTTTGCTCTATGATGTGGAAAAAGCGTCCAACTTTTTGACGACTTTCACGTATGGAATTCTATCTCTGGGAAATGGGCGTTCCACGTTTCGAGAAATGGAGAGCTGGTTTTTTGTCTACTGCTTTTTCAAGATTGGAGAGGATCGTTCGAGTTTTTAGTGCAAATAGTTAACGCGATATGGTAGAATAAAATACTTTATCCTCGAAATGTCACAAGCCTAATTATTCGTAATTAAAGTTGCATTTTAAATAGATCCTCTTCTTCGATCCTCTTCAATTCCTCCATATCTTCCATACGAAAATTTTCATTCAACCTATCTTTCGCCACGAGAAAGGAAATTCTTATGCGCGAAGAATTCTAATAAAGTGAAAAATTAATTCCAAACGCGTCGAATATACAACAGGTTGAATAAAACTCGACAAATTTCAAAATACATTTTTTTCAAGCAGCTCGTATCCATTACTTTTAATATTCATCCAACGAGTAAAACGGGGAAATAAGGATACAAAGGGATACCAAGGGTCTGGAACGTTTACAATGGAAATTTCATATGACGTCTCCCGTAAAACCGCGCGGTCGATGCGCAGGGAGGAAAGACACTTTTCTGAAATTGTAGCCCATCGCGTCAAAAGCGTGTTTCAAGTTGCATGCCGAGGCAGCGAGGAGTTTAACTCGGGGACCCAAGTTTATTGCATGTCACACAGTGGCCGAGTGGATTCCAAGAATGTGCGACAAAACGCGGAATCCTTCGTGAAGAGCATGCGGTATCGAGGATCGTACGAGACTTTCGTCGTGCAGCGAAATTTCGTTGAACTTCTGCCCGGCTATTCTATTTCACAGACACTTCTTCCGAAATGAAATCGTTGTCTTGTTTACGTAATTTCATAGAATGTCGGGGGAAAAAAGGAAAAATTCGGGTAAATTTCTGAGATAGAAATTAATACGGATGTATTCTCACGATACATGAAGATATTCTATACAAATTAACGATTAAGATTACGATTAAGATTACTTATCAAAATTCGATTCAACTTTTCGATTTATTATTTCTACTTAATTTTCAATCTTAAATTAACATTCAGTTTAATCAAGAATTAAAATGCAATCGTGAATTTCACGAATTACTCTAATCCTTCGCTCCAATTTACCTCTCCCTCTACCCCTGAAATCGCGTGGCGATTTAAAGTTTCAACCTATTTTTTTTCCCCTCCACAACGACACGCAAGCCAAATTTTAATACAACAAACCTCGACAGAGCACTCGACGTGAAACTACCACCAGCTCCCCTACCACTCTCACGTCCTATCATTCCTATTTCACAAGGTTAACGCTGCTGGACCCTCATTATCCCTTTGACGAGACCAAGACTAAACGACGCATCCATTTCGACGCGTAAACCTCTTCGCGAGAGCGCTTTTCCTGGAATAACTCGATCCCCGCTATCGCTAAATACTTGGCGGGTTAGCTCGCCAACGAGGCTTGCGACTCGAATTTTCAAACGGTTGTTTTATTCGAATAGCAGTGGGCGGAGTGTAATTTACTCCTCGCCACCGAGCAAAAGGAATGAAAGGAGGGAGAGTGAGAGGATCGAAAGAGTAAAGAGTGGAAAAGAAGGTGAAGAGGGGGGGGATTGAAAAAAAGAGAAGATTTCACGTGAAACGGTTTACAAATCCGGAATTACTTGGAGCGGGTAACTGTTCCACCGGCAGGATTTAGGATGTCTGTCGTAGGCGGTAATGCAACAAGGAGAGAAAGAGGGGGAGGATGGTACAGAGGGAGGGGGTGAAGGATGAAGGGGATGAACGAAACGAAGGGTGGAAAAGGAGAAGAATAGGCGGGGATTTAATTGCGGAATTCCCAGTAGTAATGTCTACCGTGGACCACCCTCTTCTCTTTTCGTCTTTCCTATCTCTCGCGCTTTTATCTTCATTATCTATCAACTTAGCCAAGAGCCAGGACCGAATTCTCTTCCCATCCAGAATTGGCGAATATTTCCACTCGAAATATATCCTCTACCCGTTTTCTTCTTCTTCTTCTTCTTCTCCTCCCTCAAGTTAGTTTTCTATGAGAGGAAAGAGAGAGAGAGAGAGAGAGAGATCGTGATTCGACCTAAGCTTAACTCGATAAACTCTTCGAGAGCTTTGAATCAGACGGTAAATTCCGCGGTTGCGTTTATCAGAGTTACTACGAGTTGCATGAAAGAAGGGGAGGAAATGCGAGGGATGAATGCGATCGATAAGTTGCTGCAACTTTTCCTTCGACTTGTTGTTTCCACCATTTCCCTTTTTTCGTTTCGTTTGCTTTTCGCGTTATACTTTTCCCATCTTGTTCCCTCTCCCTTCTTTTTCCCTTGGTTTTCGCTTCTTTTTCAATCGGAATGAAGTGAAATTGTTGAAAAATTCTCGGCTCATTAAAGCCATAATTCGTCTCTGTTTTATGAAACTCGTATATCGCGAGATTTATTATTCTGAGAGAGATAGAGAGAGAATCGTAGTGAGTTACGACACCATAAGTTTAATAATAAAGGTATATTTTTGTCTTGAAACTATTTCGAGAAGCCGAGTACGATTTTTCTACGTTACATGATATCATTTATTCCTTAAGTGTTGTTTCATACAAATATTACAATCATTACTCTATCGTGGGTTTCTCCATTTTAAAAATCGATATACAATTTTTATCTCGTAGTTACAATTAACATCTTCTAAATAACGTGTATCTTAATATTACATTATACGTGGCCTATAAAATCTCGTTAAAATTTTGCGCGAACTTGCAAGAACTATTATCTACCAGAGATTAACCCATTAATCGCACAATCTTCGCAACGATGGGCGCCACAATATGGAAATCGGGTATAATAGAATTTACCGTGGAGCACGGAACGCTTTCTTATTAACGGTAATGCGAGGAAGTCGTATTTTCGAAGACAAAGTACCACAGGTAGTCGCAAAGTTTTGGGTAAACTTGGAGGTTTCGGTATGCAGAAGGAACATACGGCTCGAGTCGCGAAATCGGAAGTAACGGCACGGAAAATTTTACGCGGTAAAATTCAAATAAGGGAGAATCGAGGAAACGATCCATTTATCTTTATCCACAATCTGGAATCTCAGATTATCAAATTTGGAATCAAATTCCATAAATGAGGTTCGTCGATATTTTTAATTTATTACTTTTGGATAAATTATTTCTTTGTTAAGTATATTTTGAAAAATATCTTAGGAAGGATTTAAATTTGTAACTTTTTCTTTGTTGAAATAAGAATATTAGAAGAGCACGATCTTTCTTGAAAGATTCAATTTTTATCTCAAATTTTATTTTACACTGAAATTGTTAGTTACTGTATATCATTATTTCGATCTCAATAAAACTCAGAATTGACATTTTTATTAACCTATTCGCATCATGCGATGATACTACTGTGAATGAATGAATTTATCGCGATATAGATGTAACATCACGCAACAAACATTCCAACAAACAACAATTATATAAAGTTATATGATACAATTAAATATATAATTCATCAAGTTATATTGTGCAATTATATTTTAAATAAATTGCAATATACGTGTAATTACGCGATAATTAAACGTGATTTCTCAAGGTATATAAATATAATGCGAATTGGTGTTAAATTTGCAAAATTATCCGTTACTAAAAAAACATTAATTCAAACATTAATAAATTCAACCTCCCCCTCCTAATAACTCTATCTCCTCATCAAATTCTCCTTCCAAATTTCACTCTTAATAATTTCTTTCTTAAGCATCCTCCCCCCACTTCTTTGCCGTGTAATTAAAAAAAAATTGAATCGAATTAATTGCATCCGGTGTCTCGTGAAATCAAACGAATCAGTCAGCCCTGTTCGCCCTCTTCCCTTTCGAGATTAATTGCTTGTCGACACTCCCGCTAATTTGCAGCGAACTTCTGCCCCGAAAAGCGCAGACTTACAAACGAGGAGAGGCATTCGTAATAGGGGTGTGGTAGGGGTGAATTGAATTAGCATGCCTGTCGGAGAACAACACCGATCTAGAGGAGTAGAGGGGGGCGAGAGAGAGAGGGGGAAGAGGAATTTTGAGCTTCCGGTGGAATTCGTCCCCAACAGATGTTCCTCTTTCCGAATCGAATCGATTTTATCGTGATACGGAGGATTGGAACATCGTTAAGTCGCGTTCAATCGCGCGAAGAGAAGTTTCTAATTCGACGATCTGCTTTGCGCGCAAGTTTATTACGGTCGTTCCCTTGGATAGTGAATTTCGTGTTCATCATTATAGAGAAAATTGAATGGAAAAATACGGAACGATAAACCATTCGGATCGGCAATTGTTGGTGCGCGTGTGGGGATGGAATTTTTTTGAAAAGTTTCTTTTGAAAATAGATTTTTTTCAATTCGTATAATTTCTTTTTATTCTCGATAACGATTGATTTTTTAGAAACGTACCATTTCTTAAAATTTCGCTCGCTGTTTTAATAAACGGAGAGTTAAGCGCGGTAACAGATTCGTTATAATAATGAGAAAGATTATTCGATCGTTATTGGCGCAATATCGGAGTTGTAATGGAATTCGAAGAATGCTGAGCCACGGCAAATCAGTTGAGAAATTGGAGGAGATTGAAAAAGACGTTGGCACAGATATGACGTTCAGGGAAACGAATAGGTTTTCCACGACGGTTCGAAGGAAGCTAAGAAAAATCAATGACACACCCCTAAAATCTCGCGTTGAAACTGGTGATATTTATGTGTCTCCTTTGTACCGTTCCAAGGATATAAATTACACTTTTTTTTTCCCCCTCCCTCCCTCGGCCATTTCTCTTCACCATTCACCACCAAGATTCCGAAAATCTTTTCTCGTTATTACGGAAACTGTAAAAATTCCTATTGTGTAAAAATAAAAACGATGGGGGGAAAAATCTTCGAGGTCCTTTTCAATTAATTATTCACCTCGTTCACCCAGATTTGCGCGATTACTCGCGACTTAAGAAAAAGGGTGAACAGTTCGAGGGAGGGAGGGGGGGGGTGGCGAAGGGCGTTTAAACACGCGGAAGAATGCAAAGCGGCAGAAATGAGATGCATTAACTCTGGTAAACAGCGGAAATTTATTTACGCTTTATCGACAGCCCGATATAAATTGAGAGCATCGAACGGTGTGCCTCCTATTTTATTTCATCCGGGTAAAGTTCCTTGTGCCTCCCCCTCCCCCTCCCCCTCCCCCTCCCCCCGCTGTATGCATTTATTTCATTCCTTTTTTCGTTTCTACCCGGGTTGCAAATTATCGGGGAACGATTTAATTGTAAAGCGCGTCTCGCAATGCGCCATTTATCCGACGATTCCTTTAATGGAATCCGCATCGAATAGAGGAACGGTTCTTTCGATCCTTTTCTTCCTCCAGTGATTTTTAATTCGTCGCAGATTTAGCATATCTCGAAATTCGTTGAATTATTTAATTCTCGTTGCAATGTAAATATAATAGAAATATAGGAAATATTAATTGGTAATTTTAATTTTCAGCATATCCCTGCTTACTCTTTGAAGGAAATTTTATTAAATGTTATACTTGTTGTAAAGAAGAAGAGGAGAGAATCAATTTCCATCCGTTATACACACGTATGTGATGCAATGTCAGATAAAAAGCCGGAAAAGAATTTCCACGTTTCGATAATTCCTTTCTTTCGCAAGAAAGTAAAGGCTTATCCAATTATTAATCAATCGATCTGATAATAAATCTTTGATCGTGAAGAATTCTCTTAGATCCGTAATATCGCGAGGATTAATTTAATTAATATTCCTTTTTGCTCAATAATTATTTCAATCACGTAAAAATCGAGGTATGATCATCGATGTTTCGAGTGGAAATCATTCCACGAAACCGTGTCACTTCCTTTTTGTCTTCGAAACGTTTTCGTTTATTAACGACGAGGAGAGAGAGAGAAGATTCCGGGGGATGAATGGAGAGAGTAATATCTTATTATTTCAACTCATTGTCAAAAGATTTAAAATGAGATGCTTGGTTAAAGAGGCTTAAAGAGTCGGCACGAATCTGACTATAATGGCGGATGAAAATCCTGATAGCGCGCTCCCCCTATTCTTTTTCCAGATGTATTTGCTCGACAGTGAAGTGGACGTCGCATTGCAAATCGCACGGAAAAACAGATTCATAAAGATTTGTAGAGAGATATTTTTAAATCGCGTACGTTTGTATATTTTTTTCCAAATACGATATTTTTACTGCTGTCTCGAAATACGTTCTTTATTGATTCAATTCAATCCCGATGTGACTAATTTTAAAATTTGGAGAATAGATTCCGTATTGACTCAAGTAATATGATGAAATTTTTGTCGAAATTCAAGGAGCAAATTTTGCATTGACTCGATTAATTTCGATATTACGACGAAATTTTGATTTTTTTCATCAGAATTGAGAGAAGAGTTTCATAATAAATTATTCAAACATGGAAGACTGATCGAATCGAATTTTAACTTTCAGTTTCTTTTAGTATTTATTTTTATTAAAAGTATTATTATTCCGTGTTATCGTAAAAATTGAAATCTGTTTCATAATCCATTTACGTTTAAAAATTAATATCTCGAAATTTTTTTTCTCTTTTCTTTATTTCTTTGGAAAAGATAATCCAGAGTAGCATGTGCACGTGCTTCGTCTTGATGGATTTTACTACAAGCCCCTGTGGAACGTAGAGCTTTGTACCGAGCTTACATACCGAATGTACAGAGGCAGAAGTACGAGAGAATATAATTTAATTCTTTATTTGCTTTCCAGGTACTTAATCATCCCCTACTAAAGCGATTCAGAATCGTAGCGTAGAATGTTTAAAATTCATAAAAATCTTTTAATAAGTTAATATTAGAAGTTCTTTGATATACAGATTTTCTATGCATTACGTTATTTTATATTTAACATCAGAGCTTTTTTTTTTAAAAGAATTATCCATTTACAACGATTTACGCGTATTAAAATTTCATTTTTTACTTCTCACGTTTTCCCTTCGTATTTATTTATTCATTTATTTATTTTTGTGCAAATAGAAATTGAATTTTAATTGTAATATCCATATATTCATATTTTTAACAGGATATGCCAACTTCCATTTGTAACCATTACATACACTGTATATTTTTCTTCATTCGGTAATTTTATATAGGAGCATAAATATTTTGCTTTTAACGTTAATTTGAAAATAGACAATCTTTA